TAGACACAAATGGGTGAAAATGTCATCATTTGATTTTTTTTTGACATACAAGCTAAGGATGAAATTTCTAAAGGTGGACAACTAATAAAATGCAAATGGGGATCGGAGTAACTCTATTTTTTCTTTTGAGACGCCAATTAAATAATATACAAATAATTGTACTACATATAGGTATATTGATTCCTTTTGACATTAATTCAAGCCCGGTCCCGAGAATTCAATGGCTCTGTACGAGACGAAAAAAATGGGTTTTGCCCCTAAAAATTAAGTTATATAAACCATTTTCTTAAAAAAATAATTAATATTATTATAGTAATGCACACTCTTTATCCATAAATTAAATATAATCTAAATAAATAAATGATAAAAAATTTGATATATCAAAACTATATCCTTAGAAGAACCTAATTATATTGAATTTATATTATAATTAAATATACTTTTTCTCATAATTTATGGTCAATGTGTGATACTATTTGATCAAAAAATCAAAACAAGAAATGTTTTTGAATCGGATGGAGTAGTATTGTAATTAAGCATCATAATGGATACCTTAAAAATAATGTTTTCAAATTTTTATTAAAAAATATATAATATAAATATTAAAAAATTAAAAAATTGGGCCTCCGAAAAAATGGGATTGGGCCGGTAGAACACCTTTTGAAAATATTATCTTGCTTTAGATTCTCCAACTAAGTTACTACTCCCTCTGTCACTGAAAATATTTTTCTTTTTTCATCCATTCTAAAAAAAATTGATTTTTATTAAAAAGTCACTTTTACTCTTACTAATTCCTCACCTACCTATCACATCACATCTATTCACTATTAATTTACGCATCAAATCCTACTTTTACTTATCACATCCAAGGACATTTTTTGGAAACTCAACACCAAAATATACTCCCTTAAATCTTTTAAAAAACAAAACTTCCCATGTTTTTAGAGACAAAGGGAGTAGTCATTATTAAAAAATGTAGAGATTTTAGTATCAGCGACTACTTTTATGTACTTGAATTTAAATATATAGATCGAATGAAAGTTTTAATAGACATTGCTAACAAGTTAAGTAGTGCAAAGTGCATGCTAAGCTCGTTCAACAATATTACAAATATTCTAAAATATTCTAGCGAGGTTCAAGGGTTACGTTGCTGCCCCTGTAGCTAGGCCCAAGGGACAAAGCCCCTGACTTAGTTTTAAGGGAATCCTTCCTATTTGCAAACAAAGTCCAAAGTAAGAACAAATTTGAATATAATCATGAAAATTCTTATTTAATTTTAATTTATTGAGAATTTGATGTACTTTTCAAAATATGCTATGTAACTTTTATTTTAAAATTTTGTACCATTATTTAGATAAATTGAATTAGAAATAAACAAGCTGAGCTGTTTAGGAGGTAGATGGAAAATTGTTACTAAATGAGTTAGGAAAAGTTTTACTAAATGAATATAATGGCTATGGGCGAGGAGGTGTTACACTTCATTGTCTCTCTTTATTGAAACTAAACGGGCCTTCTTGTCCATGTGTTATTATTGATGACTTGTTGTGTTTGAAATCAGTTTTTTAAAGAATAATTTATCTAAATAGAAGAATAATTTATCTAAATAGGACTAAAACATAATGATTTTTCTAATATAGTACCATTAATCATTATCTACTAATCATTATTCAACTAAATGTCCAGTATTACTTGGACATTATTGTTCTCACTAGTCAATATTACGTCTTATTTAGAAAAAAAAAAGTTTAAGTCATACATTATGAAATAACTTATATTTTAGTCCTATTCACTGTAAATTTCACTTTTTTAAAATCATTTCAAACATTTATTTGAAACACATCCAATTTAATATAATTAAAACTCTCATTCTTTTTTATGAATAATGTGTGAAAAATAAACATAAATTTAACCTTCAGTCCCAAATTAAATTATATGTTGGACTATTTACATAGTCAATATTACTTACTTATTTTATTTACTTATTTGATAAAATAATATATTATCGTCATCGCTTGTTTCATAAAAATTTTGATATAATTTTTAAATAAGTAAATTTTCTTTTTTACGCTCACTCTAATTCTCGAATATATTAATTTTAAAAAAAATTGATCAAACATTATAAACTGGAACGCGCAATTTAATTAGCATGATAAAAATTGAAAAGACAACCGAAAAAAACATTAGATTTAGAGCACATGAGTGGAAACCCTTAATAAGAAATAGGGAGAGACACAGCTGCAGTGGGTAATGGCAATGGCAGCTAACGTGCGTACAGACACTGAAATGCCGGTTTCACCCTTGCATCCCAAATTAAATGCTCTCATCCTTTGTACTCTTTCCTATCTTTCTAACAATAGAGGTGAACAAGTATCGAACCGAACTCAAAATTTCTAGAAAAAATTGAAAGTACTGAATTGGAAAAGTACTGAGAAGGTTGCCCTTCTTTGTCTTCAAGCTCTTGAGAATATGGGACGAGGAAGAAGAAGAAGAAGAAGAATTGAGACGAAGGAGAGAATCAGCGAACCGAGGGAGGAAGGGAATTAGGGTTTGATTTGTTTATTGATTGATCTAGTCTAAATGGGGTTACATCTCTTTATATAGGGAAGAAGGAAACCTTAACGCTAACCTGACGGTTCAATAAAAACGACGAGAGAAAGAACCGTAAAGAAACCTCGAAGGAGCTTATAATTTCGCTCACCTAATAAAATCTACATTACAATAATAATAATAAGAATAATAATAATAATAATAATAATAATAATACTAAATATCTCACTCTACTATCCATAACAGAACTGAATCATACCGAATCGAACGGTCGGTACGATATTTGTGAAATATAAATTAAGTTTTGATACGCATCTCTCGCATTTAAATATTTATTTTTTTTAAATTTTTTTATATTTTTTATTTAAACTTACTTTCAACTTTTGAAAATAAAGGAGAATTGATAAATTTTAAGGTGCAAAGTAAGGTATGTATATTCATATAGATTCGTACCGATACCGAACCCTACAGAATTGATATTTTGGGATTGAGATTGGTATAGTGTAAAATCTTATACCGAACTGAAATATTTGGTACGGTATCGCTACGAGCTAAATACCGCACCATGCTCACCCCTAGTTCCCAAGCAAACAAACCAATATTTCATTTTGGCAAAAGAGGATGAACACCATTTTCGAGGGGCCTCAGCCCCTAGAGTTATTATAGAAAACTCAGGTTGGATCGAAAAACTAGATCAGAAAAAGCCGTTTTTGAGCTAGAGTGGTACCGATCACCGATCTTAGAACCGAGGATCGGTATAATTCCAGCTCATTCTGATCTAGAAATGGATAGTTTCCAGGTCGGACCGGTAAGACAGAAATATACTTTGTATTTATTCTTTTATTTTTTTCATTTTAATACTAGTTATAGTTTACTATAAATAAAAACTTCAAATATAATGTTTGAGCTTAGTTCTTTAGATATACTTATATGCTACTTATTCTTGGCAAGATAAAAATATACTAAAGTACAACTTTATCAGTATTTTTGAAACCTAAAAACTAACAAAACTATAAAAAATTTTCTAGATTTATCATATTGCTGATAAAATATTTATACGTTGATAATATTTCTTAGAACACAGTCAACAAATAGAAAAAAATTAAAATAAAGTTGAATATTGCTTGGTCATAAAAAACGAGTTGAAATAATCTGAGAAAAAAAGAAAATACCAATAAAATGAGATTGGGTCGGAAAAAACTGATCCATGCGAGTGTAAGTTCACACGACGAACTTACTATGTACCAAGGGGTGCCATATGAGTACGACAAAGACAACGACATTGCATTCGACATCCTCAAATGGTGGAAGCGGAATGAACAAATGTTCCCAGCTCTCGGAATACTAGCCATATACAAGTCTAATCCATGTTGGTTTCAACCATAACTGTGGAATAAGAATTCAGTTCTAGCAACAACATTCTAACCGGGTAATAAAGTTGTTTTAGCGCTGAATCGCTTGGAACATTTATTTGCAACTAAGATTGGCTCTTAGCAAAACATCGAGCCCAAGAGTCAAGGTACAACATTGAAACCAAAAATTACATGGATGCAACCACATAGGGAAGCCCTAGTTCCAAGGAATAACTTTGTATTTTTTTAAAATTGTAATTAATTTTTTTAAGGGAGCGATATATAAGCTCATTCGAGGATTTCTTTATGATTCTTTACCTCATCACTTTTTTGGACCATCTGGATATTAAATGTAATTGTTTTTGTAAAATTCATTTTTCTTTATTTAAATAACAACTACATTTTAAGATATATTCTAATTCATAAAAAGTTATAAATCTTTTTTTGCTTTTACACTTACACAATTATAAGTTATTAGTAAAAAATATTTAAAAAATGAAGGCAAAACAAACTGGCCCGGTACGGTACCGAAACCGCTGGTGTAGGAACCACGGCCAGTAACAGTTCCATGGGGTGGCGATATCAGAGCTGCCGGAATCAGAACCGGACCGGAACCGTAACGTGTCCACCCGTACATCAAACACTCATACTAAAAAGATAATTACACATCAAGAGATGAGAACCATACAGTGACCTCATTCTGCCGACCTCTTTTTTTTAACTGTATGGTCAATTTTTGTTACTCAAAATTTAGTTGATGCAACTAGAGGGGGTGTGGTAGTGCGTAAGGGACAAGACAAGTTTGGGGTTTACCGGGGGATAAAGGGATATGAACAATCAATTTTACGATCCGAGCACCATATGTGCCCAATTGAATTGGTATAACAATCTTACACAATACTTAAAGCTTAAACACATGCATTAAATGTTAAAATGTTTTATTAGAAATTATAAAAAATCCAATTGAAAACAATGGGAAGAGGAAAGACAAGAAACCAAAACGCGTTTCAATGCAAGGGGTAGCAAAGATGGGTTCGAGATGTTGTTGGTATGACAAGGCCCTTTTCAGAACACAATGATAATTGAGAAAGCACAAAATTCAATATACCAAGTAATTAGAGGAAAACTATATCACAAATTTGCAATTAAAACAAACAGTGATGATCGGTCAAAAACACATTCTCAAATTCTCGCAAGCATAGATATAATAACTATATAAAGGGAGTACAAAAAATTACATGGGGAAGCAGCTCGCTTAGGCACGAGCAGCAGTTGAAGGAGCTCCAGGAGGACGTGGTGCACCTTGACCAGCCTTAGGACCAGCATTGTCCTGAAACACATTGAGTTCACATGTGTCAATTAACAACGGAAAATGGTTTTTTAATGAGACCGTTTAACAAGTAAAGACATAAACAGAGTGCAATTGTGAAACTATTTACCCTAGGAGATGGAAAATTTCTCCCAAATTGTTAGGAGAGGAAGATGAGTTTAGGTGATAGACACCACACCCATTTTATTCCCTCCCTCGTGTAGAAAACATAAGAGAAATGACTATTCATATCTCTGCGACCAAAAACAGATACACTACACAAAATATGGTTCAAAGAGAAGTGGTATTTGTAGTTTCTGGCATGTGACATGTTCATAGTTTCTTAACCGGGAAGTGATGTAACAAAAACATATGCTTTGAATTACGATGTTTCCATCATTTAGACTAAGGCTTAGACAAATGGGGAAGGTACCATTGGGCGTTTGTTGATGTTTCGCACAGGAGCCTCGCGCTTCCTCCTATCAACACGAGAGCGGACCCTGACAACCTTGGAGTGAATTGCACATGAAACACAATACTGCACCTTCAAATAGAGCTTGGGAAGAGTGTATGCTGTGCATATAAACAAAGCCTTGTTACATCAGGCGATAGAAAGTTTCAGAGAGCAGAGTAATGTATTCTGTTCATAAGCATACCATCAAAGGCACAAGCTTCCTGGACATCCCTGACAGCAGCTTGCTCCACAATGTTTCTTACAAGAAACCTCTTGATGGCTTTGTCCTGAAGGTTATAAGTGAAGTTAATCATAATCACAAAAAGTGTTGACATTCTACTGAAAATTCTGAAATCATCCCAAGAATGAATACCCTTAGACAGAAATAATCTTGAGCAAGTGCTAAGATAGTATCACATAAATTGACCAAGAAATCAATGAAAAATTATTCAGGTGCTTGGTACAAATGGTACAATAACAATTTAACCGTTTGAAAAGAATAAAGCAATCAACATATACATGGGATTCATGAGTGACAGCAAACAAACAACTGCAGCTAGACAAATACTAAGACTCAGATCTCTATGATCAATAAAAAAATTTATGGAAATTACTCATCTGAAATTATAATTAAGCCAAAATAAACCCAAAAAAGCTAAAGAATTGCTCTCCTTTTTGAAGAATCAAAACTCATATTGAACTCAGAACAAACACACGATGAGACATTACAGGTAAAAAAAACAGATTAGTGCATACAGGATGATATGCGCGCACAAACAAACAAAAAACAGTGAGAATCAATTTCTATTAACGTTAAGGATTCGCGTAAAATTGGCTAAGACCTTAGGACAGCACTTTCCACAGTTCGAGCAGCGAACGAACTTGACATGGCCGCGGCCGTGCTTATTGCGCCCTCCGTTCCTTCGCTTGAAAGTCTGCGAATGAAGAAGCAGATAAATTGAAAATGGATTTCAGGTGACAATGAAGATTGAGGAGTGCGGGGATCGGAATCCAACCATTTTAGCCGAACTTGAAGTGATCCGCCGGCCGCCGGCGAGGATAGGGTCTGATTGAAGAGGAGGGAGGGGGTTAAGCTAAATTTGTCTTAACCTAATCTCACTCCATAGAGTAGAATTGCTTGCCTGGATACTAACCCGATACTGGTCCTGTTTGGGAATAGCTTTAGCAATTAACGTTAGCGTTTTGAAAAAGCTATCTACGGACAGCGTTTAGCGTTAGCGTTTTCAAAATAATCTGCACCGTTAAAATTTTATCCAAAACGCTAACGCTAATCTCTAACGTTATTCCCAAACAGACCCACTAACTCCCTCTATTTTCTTTAATTAAACTCATTAATTTTGATTTATAACTAAATACAACATTTTTGCTTCATCACAAAAAAAAACTGTTTTGACTTTTGGAAGAAAATGCTATAGAAGCTTGACTAAAGTGAAACGATGAAAATTGAAACAGGTATAGGGTGGGAAATGTCTAAATTGGTAGGGTGTAAAAAGGCGGTAATTGAGGTATGTTACATTAGATTAGATTTAAGAAAAGTAATGGTGTTTGTATCCATTTAGGCAAAATGAAAAAGTTTTTTAACACAAGTAAGATGTATGATTGCATGAGTGAACATATTTTGTGGTACCAGAGGAGTACTATATTAAAAATTAATATAATGAAATAATTTGTTAAATTTATTTGTAAAAAAATCTAATTAAATTATTCTTGCCTTAATTAAAATTTATTTAATTAATGATCAAAATTCGTCTAATTTAGTTACAGAAACTCAGAAAGCCAAACCAAATGAATATTTTGACACGAAAAGAGTAAGTAAAAGAAACTACTTATCTAGGATTTCCGAAGATAGATATGAGTTCATCGTGAATTCATTGAATATTGTGAAGTTGGCTTTGGATTGAATGTAACTATGATTCAAATGAGAGGCGGATTAAAGTTTACATGTTCAATTACAGGTGGACAAGAAACTTGATCCCATTTTCCTATCCTGAAACTTCCTCGTTCTATTTACATAGTGTCACGTTTCGCTTAAGATTCAATATTATGTCTCAAACCTGTATTGGACTAACTAATTGATTGGACTAATTCAATCGATTGGATACCACATCCCATGAACATAGTGCAAAGAATAAAAAGGTGATCCACATGAAGGCCAAATTGAACGAATTCTAGAGGCATGGAAAATGAAGGCAAGAAGAAGCACAAATTATCAAAGACTCCCTTCAAACCAAGGATTTATGATGGGACGCCCTTCCCAGAGAAACTAAATATTGAAATTAGCAAGTTCACTGGAAATGAAGATCCTAATTTTTACCTTGACTTTTTTCATAGTTTTTGCTATGATGATGGGCCTTCCAAATAAAGAGGAGTGCTTACTTTTCTTCGAAACTTTGAGGTGTCGAGTGTAATTGAATGACTTAACAGTACTCTCCCTCTTTGTAAGATTGATTCTTTTCGATAAACTTGTTTGCACAATCGAAGAGATGGATGACATGACGACAACCTCCCTTTTCATGGATGTCATTAAGGGCGGGATGGCTATATCGAGAGTTTTGCAAAAAAACCCCAACTTCAATGGTGTTCATCGAAGCAAAATCAAGGTCGAACTCTTAGAGTGTCATCCCACATTGGAAGTCCAAAAGTAAAATAATCGGTATCTAAGCTATTGAGTAGAACTAACTAATCGATTGGATTCAATCTTTTAATGTGATTTAACTCAAGCATCTTATTGCCCAATCCAGTTATTACTATCTCATCATAAATTCTATCACAAACTAAAAAGAAAATCAAAGTAGGCGAACCAAACTTTAACTACGTGCTAAATAGGAGAGAGGGCGAGCAAGTTGGAACAAGAACACCGAGACCTTATTATGACCCAGTCACAAATGAGACCCGGGATAAAGAATGTGGCATGAAGACTGGATTTCAAAAAAAGAAAATGCAAAGTCAAAAAGGGATATTAGATAGAAATACATTGTACTTGTCACAAAACAAAATCAAAAAATATGAGGAATCCATTACTCTCAAGGTTGTGGCGATACAAGCCACTAGAAAAAGGAAAGCTATAAGAGCAACACTTAGACGAAAGAGTGGAAGCTTAAAGTTCACCGGTTAGAAAGGTAAGTATTTTATTAAAAACTTAACACTTAGCCTAGTAGAATTGGGTACACCGATTGTAAATCGTGTTAAAAATGATGACCTAGTTAAACTAGTACATTGATCGCACAACAATCTTGCGCAATATTAAAAACCAAAAGAGGGGATCTAGAAGAAGCTAGGGGTATTGCTGAAAGAGGTTAGTTTGAGCTTAGGAAAAGGTTTGAAACCGCACCTAGGTAATGATTCACTAACTTAAGCAACATCTCCATAAAGAAAGGCACACAAACTTAAAACATGCCTAAAATAAAAAAAAAATTACATTAGTTACCACCTGTATCTTCCTTCCTAAGAAAGACTTGACCATTTCAGAGAATTGGAAGCCCCATTAATATTTAATATGTTGCGGGCCTAGTTGACAAATATTCACAAGGTCGATGCTTCACGTGATGAAATCATAATTGATTATGAAAAATGAGTCCAACAAATTAATCTAAACTCTAAAAGTGAAGGCTAGAGTGATAGGTAAAGAACTGAAAACTACGGAATAATATAATTTACATCAACATTCACATATCACCTTATTACTTATTCGTCAAATTATACTTCTTAATTTAATTTTCAAAAAACTAAACGTTAAAAAATTATTCCGTAAAAAGTTAATTTAAAAGAGGTGGGATTCAAATTTAAAAGGTGAAAAGTATTGTGATTGGAGAGTACCATTTTTTACCTTAAAAGAATAGTGAAGAAAAAATTAAATTTTTAATAATGACATTTGGAAATTGTAAATTTTCATTTTATGTACAAGTATGAAGGATGAGTTAATAATAAGTAATCAACATATATGGCCACCAAATGTTAATGAGAGACAAGCATAACAAAAACGTTCAAAGATATTTTCATTTTTTCATTTATATAATCTAATAGGACAAACGGATCATATACCGTCAGGGGAGCTTCATAACCGAAAATGGCGTTATTTACATATATAACCCCGGACTTTCCAAATGTTCACATGACGTGGCACGCGTTTGCCTCCTCATCACTAAAAAGCGTAGGGGCAAACGGGTAATTGCAGTGGATCTGATAACCCCGCCCACATGCGCAGATGGTGGTGTACGAGCAGTTATGCGACGTGGCTTTGTCGCCTTCTGCCGCCGTCCCCTTCTCTCCTCCGCCTTTCTCGCCGCCGCCGTTCTCCTTCTTCTCGCCGCCGCCCTTCTCCTTCTTCGGCGGCACGATCTCGACATTCCGCTTCATCTGCCTCCGCAGAGCCTCCGCCAGCGCCTTCTCGTCGATCACTCCCGTCACCGTCAGATGATCCTTGTCTCTGTCCACCTTCATCTCCATAAACCCTGGCAAAATAAACGCCGTTACGAACTCTGTTCTCCGTCAAACGCATTAAATCGGTATGCATACAGAGTTTATTATTTGGATATCATTACCTCTGGTTCTTCTCACAATCTTGTAGATCTTGTGGAGGCAACCGTCGCAGTGTAAGTTCATCTTCAGCACCGTCGTCGCCGCCACCCTCATCTGCCGGAAATTTCCCCAAACAAATCCACAGTTAATACCGATCAAAATCCGATTTAAAATAAACAATGGAGACGCAATAAAGGATAAACATCGGAATGATATGAATATAACGGCGGATAGTTCTCGCGTACCTCAGCCTTATCTTTTCCGTTCCCGTTCAGGTCAGCTCCGCCTTTTCCGCCGCCGCCGCCGTCTACCCCGACGCCATTCTTCTTTTCTTCGCCGCTCGGTTCTTCCTCGCGGGGGCTATTGTTCTTCTTCTTCTTCCCCATTCCGAATCTGCCTTCAAAACGGGTTTTGAAATTGGAAAATGGAAATGCAGCTGATGATGGAAGAAACGGGTCTAGTGGTGGGAGTTTATATAGATAGGGTCAGTCGGTCAGGTCTGAAGAAGATGGGCCTTCGGCCCAAGTTTTCTGTGTTGTAAGTTAGAAATAAAAATCTCAATTGCGTGTTTTTCTTGTAACAATTGTGTGTTGTGGGAAATGTACCCCAAAGATTTTCAGGGTATTCCGTTTGATTTGAGCAAAAATGATTAAAAAAATACCTATTGCGAGCCAATTGTTTATATCGTAGTTCACTTGTTTGTGAATTTTGAAGTTTGATTGTGCAATTTGAATAAAAATGTAGCTTTGGGCACTAATATTATGGGATAAGATTTCAACAAATTGTCTTTAAAATATAATGTGCGTTTTTCTTCAAAATTAATCTAGATATACATTTCAATGTCCCCATGTCTGCGTGTACTTTACTTTTTGCAAACAAATTAAGTTGGTGTTTCTCTGTTTTAGTGTTTATTGACTAATTGCTTATAAGCAGGTTTTAACTTATAACCTATTTATGAATAAAAAATCGTATAGATTAAATGACTTTAATTATATATAAGTCATTTGGGATATTAAGAATATGCGATGGATAGTTCTGTAAGTACACTGGTTAAAATGGAGAAATGAAAAAATAATATTAAAAATAAGTAAGTAGAATCTACTTAATTAGGAATGTGAGTGTATATCCTCTCTCTAGCGATGTCGAGGAGAAGAGGAAGACCTAGAAAGAAGACGACGCCGAGCAAGTCTCCGACGATCGGATCCACTCCCAATAGTGGGGGAGATGTGATCCCAACAGAAGAAGAATCTCCTACTCCACAGAAATCCCCGATCAATGATGAGATCTTGACAGAGGCAACACCAGATTTGAAAGAGGAAAACCCTCAACAAACATATGCAGAGGCAGTCACTGGGATAGCAGATAAGGACAAATTACAGTTGATCCCTGCTACTGAGGTAAATGGAATGCTGGTAGCTAAACTTACAAAGGAAGATGTTATTGAATCAAAAGATTACTGGAATTCCACATTAGTTTGCTGTATATTGGGGGCTAATCCCCCAATTGAAGTTGTTAAAGGTTTTATCAATCGTGTTTGGAAATCATATCCTATGGATGATATTTCAGTACTAAAAGAAGGACAGTTCTTAGTTACTTTTCGAAAAGAGGAAGATATGAAGGAGATTGTTAAGAGGAGATATTACTTTTTCGACAATAAACCCATGTATATTCAACAATGGAAACCTGGAATGAAGGTTATAACTGAGGAACTGACAGATATCCCAATCTGGATACAACTTCCAGATCTAGATGTGAAATACTAGAGCCTGTCAGGTCTGAGCAAACTGGGTAGTCGGATTGGTAAACCAGTTAAGAGGGACAAAGCCACTGCAACCAAAACTAAGTATGCTTATGCAAGAATACAGGTTGAAGTCAGTGTTCATCAGGAATTCCCACATGAGATCATATTTGTAGATGAGGAAGATAAGGTTGTCAGCCAGAAAGTGGATTATGAATGGTATCCATGTATATGTGCTCATTGTTAGAGGATGGGACATATGCAAGAAACTTGCAGGAAAAAAGAAGGGAAGAAGCTAACTGCTGGACAATTCAAACTGGCATGGAGGCCTAAAAGAACCAAACAGATTAATGAAGTGGAGAGAAACCAGATGGTGGAGCATGAGAATCTCCTGAGGTTCAAGAGGGAAATCAGGTGAAGGATCAGCCATCTAACTCTCAGAAAGACGAGGAAGGTTTCACTGAGGTTACTGGCAAGAAAGCTGCTAAAAGAATCCTATTAAGTAATATGAAGGAAGACCTATTAACTGAAATTACCAAGCTGTTTGAGAAGGTCCCATATGAGGGACACCTCCCTTTTCTTAAATGATTGGATGTTGGAACGTAAGAGGACTTAACAGTCCTAATAAACAGGATGAGGTCAACTTATTCCTGAAAAAATATGACATGTTGATTTGTGGACTGTTGGAAACCAAAATCAGAGAGAAAAATTTCATAAGTATTGAAAATAAAATAGCCCAAGGATGGAGCTCCTACATTAATAATGAATATCATCAACTGGGCAGAATATGGGTGTTGTGGAAGCCCAATAAGCTGAAAGTTAATATTATGGAGGCTGGAGAGCAATGGGTTCACTGCAAATGTGGTACTGTGGATGGTGAGCCAAAGATTTTCTTCATCACGTTTATCTATGGACATAATGATCCAGTTAAAAGGAGGGATCTATGGTTAGCTATTAAAAAAATTGCTATCTCAAATACACTTTCCTGGTGCATTGTTGGCGATTTTAATAGTGTGCTAGAGATGGATGATAGGGTGGGTGGAAACCCAGTCACTTGGGATGAGACACAGGAGTTCAAACAATGTGTTCAGATGTGTGGTTTGGAAGAGATACCTGCAGAAGGAGCTAAATTCACTTGGTCAAACAAGCAAGGGCCTGGCAGAAGAATCTTTTCCAAAATAGATAGAGCACTTGCCAACATTGAATGGTTCAATGAGATGGATACTAAAGTTCTTATTAAGGTAGAAGGATTATCTGATCATTCTCCTCTCCTTATTAAAAACTGTAGTATGAAAAGCAATTTTTCCTTCAAGTTTTGTGACATGTGGACTCTGGACCCCTCCTTTCCTAAAATAGTGAAGGAGAATTGGAGCAAGGAAGTGCAAGGCAGATATATGTACAAATTGGTCACCTATCTTAAAGGAATAAAGGGGCAGTTGAGACAGCTAAATAAGGACAAATTCTCTAATATTTTCCTGCAGTGCAATGTCCTTAGGGAAGAGCTTCAACAAACCCAAGAAGCTATCAAAAACAATATGGGTAGTATAGCTCTAATTACTAAGGAAAGGGACCTAATCAGGGAGCTGAACTGGAAAATGAAGGCAGCAAGATTATTGAAATTCCAACAAATTAAACAAGAGTGGGTACTGGAAGGGGACAAGGACTCTAGACTATTTCATGCGTGGATCAAGAAGAGAAGACTCAAGAACTATATTAATACCATTAAAAATTCTAAGGGCCAGATTGTTGAAGGGAATGAGAAGGTTGCTCAAGTTATGGTAGAGTACTACCAGGACCTCCTGGGAAACACAAAAATTACTGATAATATTAATATAGATATCTTAGCAGAAGGCAAGGTGTTAACTGTGGAACAACAACTCAAGCTTCTAGCCCCTATCCATCCTGAGGAAGTCAAGAAATATGTTTTCAGTATACCTAACAGTAAAAGTCCTGGCCCAGATGGTTTCTCTAGTGGTTTTTTCAAACACCAATGGAGGGTAGTGGGTGAAACTGTGACCAAAGCAGTACTAGATTTTTTCCAAGATGGGGTCACACTTCAACAGATTAATGCTACAAACATATGTCTAATTCCTAAGGTGGACATCCCCGAAAGCCCTAAGGATTTTAGACCTATTGCTTGTTGTAATGTGGTCTATAAGGTGATCTCTAAGATCATTTGTAGCAGACTCAAGGATGTCTTGGCCCACTTGATAAATCCTAATCAAAGTGCTTTCATTGAAGGGAGAGAGTTGGTACATACTGTGCTTCTTTGCCAAGAAATGGCTAGGGGTTATAACAGAATGGGGATCAGTCCCAGATGCCTAATGAAACTTGACTTAATGAAAGCGTATGACTCTGTTAGCTGGAAAGGATTATTCCAAATTATGGAGGGGCTGAAATTCCCAAGAAAATTCATCTCCTGGATTCGGTTTTGTGTTACCTCAGTAGCATACTCTGTTCAGCTTGGAGGGGAATGCTTTGGGTATTTCAAGGGAGGCAAAGGAATTAGACAAGGAGACCCAGTTTCTCCTTTGCTTTTTACCCTTATAATGGAATATCTGACAAGGACTTTTTCTTACTTTGCCAAAAGGAGTAAGTTTAAGTTTCACCCGAGATGCAAAACACTCAATCTGATTAACATAGTCTTTGCAGATGATCTTATTGTGGCATGCCGAGCTGATACAGATTCTGTAGGAACCATTCTTAACTGTCTTGCACACTTCAAGAACACAACTGGCCTGCAAGTCAATTATGATAAATCCCAAGTGATAGTGGGGGGGGGGGGTTCCTGATGAACTTCACAACAGTATCTTAGCCTAAACAAAAATGTCCAGAGGTTCCCTTCCTTTTAGATATTTGGGAGGACCAATTACAGATGCTCGCCTTAGTGAAAGGGATTGTGAAAAACTGATTGAAAAGATCACACTGAAAGTCACCTCCTGGGCAACCAGGCACATTTCTTATGCTGGGAGAGCAAGATTGATTAATTCTGTCTTATATGGGGTAATTACTTTTTGGTGTAGGTTTTTTATTCTGCCTTGCAAGGTAATGCAGAAGGTTATGGCTGTTTGTAGAAATTTTCTTTGGAGTTCCATAGCAAGCTATAAGAGATCCCCTCTGATAAACTGGGAGGAGGTCTGCAGTCCTAAGCACGAAGGGGGATTGGGGTTGAAGAACCTTCATGTATGGAATAAAGCTTGCGTTATGAAGTTGGTTTGGGACATAGCATCCAAGAAAGATATTTTGTGGGTTAAATGGGTACATAGTAGATATCTGAAGAGGAAAACTATTTGGACTTATGAATGTAAGCCTGATGACTGTTATTATTGGAAGAAAATGATCCAGATCAGAAAAGATTTTGATGGAATGATCATAGACCAGGGGTATACCGTCAAGGAAGGATACAAATGGCTTACTGGATCCCAAACTAATGTGATTTGGGCTGATCTGGTTTGGAATAGATTCTCCATACCTAAACATCAATTTATAGCATGGCTGATTTGGAAGGGTAGAATACTTACTAAGGACAGGCTAAGTAGGTTTTTACCAATTGATACAATCCGTAGCCTATGCAACAAGATAGATGAGACTGCTGGCCATCTCTTTTGCAGCCGTCCTTTTGCAAAGTATATTTTCCAGCATATGTCTATGATTATCCAGTATGACATGGAAGCTAATTCCATTGCTGAGCTAGGACAGAGAATGAATAAGGGAAGAAACAGAAGAGACAGGAGGGCTATTGCTGCTTGTGTTGTTACCTGTTGTTACTTCATTTGGAAAGCTAGAAACTTCAAGCTTCACAACAAGGAGATGACTGTGGTGGACACGCTGAAGACTATCAAAGAACACTTCAATATTATTATGGGTAACTAGTCTATGTTGTTCACGTTGTATACTGGTGTTAGGTGCTGGTTCTTGTTATTGTGTGTTTCGTTTTTGTTGTACTGGAAACTGTTCTTTGGGTTTAATATAATTTTGTGCTTTGTTCAAAAGAATCTACTTATTTTTTTGGATTATAAACAGCTTATATAAGTCAACTTAAAGCACATTAAAACACATCATCTGCTAACTTATAAGTTAAAATAAGCTTATAAGCAATTTTGATTTATAAGCACAGAGAAACACCCACTAAAGTAAATAGATTTAATTAGAAAAGTGACTCTGATGCGCTTCCAAAACTTCGTACAAAAATGACATTCCGGTTCCATGGACACTGGATTCCAGTGGCCATGGAACCGGGCTCTTATTGATATGCCAACTTCTGTTTTTTACATAATAGATTATTAATGTGTACATTCCAATATTGCAAAAATAATTTCCATTTAGTGTTCGCCTTTGATCTACGTGGATCAGGGGCCCAGACCATTGCGTGATACACTTTGCCAAGAGAGTGGGGAGTCTTAGAGTAGTGGAAATGGGCTTAACGCTCGTTGCGTCAAAATGGTCTTTAACGCCCTTGAACACTGCCCTCCCCTGTTATGCGAGTGTCATTCACCATGTGTTAAACATTTAACGCAAACGAATAAGGATGAAAGAGCCCCCCCCCTCGGCGGTCAAATATTTGGCCATTGTCAAATATAAAAAAATTAAACTTCAAGTATAAATATTCCTCATATTTTAAAAAATATACACATACAACATATTCTCATTTTCTCATACAATTCTCTATTTTTTCTCATTTTTCATATCTTTCTCTCTTATTTTTTTAATTTCTATCATGAATCCCTTCGGTCCTTCATCCGGTCCTCTGTCCGATCTTGAGCAAAATGAGTACGTGATGGACTTTACCAAACGTCAAGAATAATCTAATGGTTTTTGAAACACAATGCTTTGTGAATCAAGGTGACCTGGAGTCGGTTTTGGAAACTCAACCGGAACCACGTGCACCGGAAAAAGTACGCGCCGAAAGAGTTACAAGTCGATGACTCAGGCGACACGGTCAATTCAAAAATTTGACACCGGAAGAAGAAACTTGTTAGCGCCTGCGTGGGTTGTCGTCTCGGATCGGAACATCTATCATTGGTAAAATTTATACGTTTTTTAAAATATATTTTATACGTTCTTTATTACTCCCTCCGTTCTAAAACTTTCTTCCCAGAGCACTATTCCAACTTCACGGGAATTTATATTTATTTGTGTTTTTTCATGGCCTATATGATAAAATAAAATATTCTTGTCACCACTTGTTTTGTTGAACTTTTGATGTAGTTTTTAAATATGTATGTTTTATCTTTTATTTCTATACCAATATTTAAATAAAATAGATTGAAAAAACTTGAGATTTTTCTTCGTTTTGCGCAACGGGAAGAAAGATATAGGACGAAGGGAGTATATATTTGTGTTAAATTATATATTTTTGTCAAATTATATGGAGTATTTCTTAAAGATTCTGATCAAACAAGGGATGCGATGTTGGATCGTATTGAGGAGAAGTTCTTTGCCGCAATGAATAAGAACCCCTCCTACCGAACTTGAGACTAACTCACTTCTAAATGGGGACTCATAAACTAGAAAAATTAAAAAGTATATCGAAGTGTATGAGGAATGCACCGGTCCCGGAAGAACAAGATGAACAGTGCCAAGCCACTGCTCGGTATCAAGACGACGACGGACGCCAAGGCAAAGTCCCTTGTTGATTTGTGGAGAGTTTTTAGCCGTTCATTGAAATGGCAACAACTCTACAACCCCGAGGCTGAATTGTCAAAGAAAAGATCCTCTGGCGAGGTTAGTGCGGAGGATACTATCGGCTCATCGGAACAAAGGTCTCCGGTCAACCTAGATGACTCCGATGACGATGACTTCATTCCACGGCTGATCGGAAGAAAGAAGGCAAAGAAATTGACTCGGGTTCTAGGTGCGGCTTTGTTTCCTCTCTCGACAATATTAGTTGGCAAATGGTTAACAAATGCGGTTGTCCAATCTTAAGAAAAAAGAGATGGAGAAACGGATGATAGAGGAGGATGAGCACGAAATAATGAAAACCAACCTTGATAAGTTAACATAATTTATACGTATGTATTTTGAAAAAAGACAAAACAAGATCAAGCAAGATATAATTTGCTATAATTTTTTTTATTAATGTATTCTTTTAAGTTTAATGTTCTTTTTTATTAAATGAATTATTGCGGTTTAATTTAAATTAATTAATTAAATCTTATTAATTTACTTTTACAAAATATGTATTAAAAAATTAAAAAAATAAGGATTTGAATCCACGTGCTTCAGACTCATTTCTAGTGAAACTGTGAGATAAGTTAAAGGGCGGTGAGATTTATCCCAACGATTATAGTGGAACGAAGAACAGTGAATAACATAAACACTCGTACAAATATCTCTTTTGAGTAATTTATGTACTAGCTTGATTTAGCTTGATTTGCAATGAGGGGTTCATCCCCAATTTATAGCATAAAACTAATGTGTATAAGGTAAGGCGATCATGCATCGCTACATTAGAAAGTATCATAAATCGTGCGCTAATTGTGGCAGAGAAATCCTTTAACGATCTCCTCCAAATCCCCGTGATCCCAGGTATTGTGCTTCACGCCTCCCTTTCCTTAAATAATCCCTTGGCCCGGGTTGAGCCCTTGGACATGACGATTGTTGGGTCGTGCCTATCTTCATTGATTGGTTCAGGGTTCCGACCGCGTTGGGCTTAGTATAATCATGCTTGGGCCTTTGATGACTCATTCCTTTAGCCCGATATCAATCAAGGGAACTAAAACTAATATGACAAAGAGACAAAGTTTGAGGTTTCAGATTTCAAATGTATTTTGAGTGCCTTTAGAAAGCTCTTCCCTTGCATTCCTAATAATTGAAAACTGATGCTCCCTATTTTTGTGCTACCAAAGACTTTTTGTATCAAAACATATTTGGTCGAAGTATGAAGTATTTTAATAAAAAACGTGCTATACAATATCGGCCCGTTTCCAGTGCCACTGGAATCCGGTGCCACCAGCATTTTGGGGCACCTCCGGTAGCCACACATTTTGTGGGGGACTTACGGCGGGGTTGGAGTGGGGGTGCAGGGGC